TAATTCACTCTCTGGTTGTTAGGGACGCTGAATAGGTTGGGGGTGCGAGAGCAGCGCCCCGCAGTACGGTACAGGGGTATTTTCTGTACGGGCCTTAAAGTTTTATATGGGCCCAGGCTAGGGTTAGTATAAAAATACGTTGTAACCCTATTTTTCAGAACTGAATAAAGAAATCTCTACTTCGCTCTCGTGGACATAGGCACATCGTCGAACCACGTAAAATTCTTGTGTTGATTTTCGTTTTCATCTCTTTAATATTGCGCATAAAATCCAACAACTGGTATCAGAGCTAGGTTCAGATGGCGAGTTCTTCGGTTGCAAAATTTGATGTGATGAAGTTTGACGGATATGGGAACTTCGGATTATGGCAGCGAAGGGTGAAGGATTTGTTGGCGTGCAAGGGATGATGAAGGCACTATCTGGGAAGAAACCAGAGGGTACGTCAGATGCCGATTGGGAAGAGCTCGAGGCTCGAGTAGTTGGTACAATTCGGCTTTGTTTGGCGGAAGAAATCATGTATCATGTCATGGACGTTGAGTCTCCGACGGAGGTTTGGAAGAAATTGGAGAGTCGTTATATGTCAAAGTCTCTCACGAACAAACTGCCATCAGATGGGCCACTTTAAGGGAGACTGTCCTAATAAGAAGCAGAATGATGAAAGGAAAGGTGATGGGTCCTCAAACTCAGCTAGTGTTGCAGAAGGAGACTCGGATTCTGGAGATGGAGACATGTTATCAGTCTCTGCAGGTAATTCTGTAAAATTAAATGACTGTTGGATACTTGATTCAGCCTGTTCATATCACATTTGTCCTCACTGGGATTGGTTTCATTCATATCGTTCTGGTAATTTTGGATCTATTTTGATGGGTAATGATGTATCATGTAAGGTCATTGGAATGGGGTCCATAAAATTTAAAATGTTTGATGGTGTGATAAGGACCTTGAAAAATGTTAGGCATGTACCTGAGTTGAAAAAGAATCTAATTTCTTTAGGCACTTTAGACACAAACGGTTACTCTTATAAGTCAGAGTGTGGGGCTCTAACAGTGAAGAAAGGGGCTATAATTGTGATGAAGGGTCAGAAATTAGTAGGGAATATCTACAAACTACTCGGGGATACAGTTGTAGGTGGAGTTGCTACAGCAGAATCAGAGTCAGATGACACTCTTCTATGGCATATGCGACTGGGGCATATAGGAGAACGTGGCATGGTTGAGCTTCACAAGAGGAATTTGTTGAAGGGGGTAAAATTATGCAAGTTGAATTTCTGCAAGTTCTGTGTACTTGGAAAACAGTCCAGAGTACAGTTCAAGATGGGAAAGTACAAGACAGAGGGAATTCTTAATTATGTGCACTCAGATGTTTGGGGACCAGTGAGGGGGTTGTCCAAAGGTGGATCTCAGTATTTTATTACTTTCATTGATGACTTCTCTAGAAAAGTTTGGGTATATTTCATGAAGCACAAGTCTAAAGCCTTTGCCAAGTTCAAATTATGGAAAGCAGAAGTAGAGAACCAGATGGGCAGAAAAATTAAGTATCTGATGACAGAAAACGGTACAGAGTATACAGATTCACAGTTTCTGAGATTTTGTGAGGAGCATGGTATTCAGCGGCACTATACAGTTTGCAAGACACCGCAACAGAATGGTGTTGCAGAAAGGATGAACAGAACAATTGCAGAACAAGCAAGATGTTTAAGGCTGAATGTAGGGCTCTCGAAGAGTTTTTGGGCAGAGGCAGTAAACATGGCATGTTATGTCATAAACAGATCACCACGAGCAGCACTAGATGGGAAAGTTGCAGAGGAAGTTTGGATAGGTAATGAAGATGATTATTCTGAATTGAGAGTCTTTGGTTGTCCGGCGTATGTGCATGTATCTAGTGATCAGCGATCCAAACTTGATCCGAAATCAAGAAAATGCATTTTTTTGGGCTATGTTAGAAGTGTAAAGGGATACATTTTTTGGGATCCAGAGACAAGGAAGATGGTGATAAGTAGGGATGCAGTATTTGATGAAGCATTCATGCTTAAAGCTTCTACAAATAAAGAGAAGCTCGATTCAGACAAGGGCAGAGGTAAGAGTCAAGTGGTGCAAGTAGAGCTAGACAATGTAAACACAAAAATTAATGCTCAGGGAGCAGATAGTTCTAGGTCACGGGTGGAGCAGTATCATAGTGTTGCCTTAGATAGACCACGTCGCACGACCAAGCCACCAGCAAAGTATGAATTCGAGGATTCGATTTCTTATGCACTCATTACCAGCAATAGCGATCCTATAACTTTTCAGGATGCCATTGGTAGTCAGGAGAAAGGTAAATGGATAGAGGTTATGACAGAGGAAATTGAATCACTGTATAAAAATGATACTTGGGATTTGGTGGAGCTTCCAGAGGGGAGAAACAGATAGGGTGTAAGTGGGTGTATAGAAAGAAAGAAGCAATGTCAGAAAAGGAAGTAAAAAGATACAAGGCTCGATTAGTAGCAAAGAGATACTCACAGAGGAAGGGAGTAAATTATGATGAAATTTTCTCTCCGGCGTCAGACACACTTTCATCAGGATTGTTTTGGCAATGGTGGCTAATTTTGATTTGGAGTTTAGAGTAGCTAGATGTGAAGACTGCTTTCCTTCATAGTGATTTGGAGGAACAGATTTTCATGGAGCAGCCAGAAGGGTTTTTGGAACCAGGAACAAAGAATCTTGTGTGTAAATTGAAGAAGTCTTTATACGGGTTTAAGCAATCTCCACGGCAATGGTACAAGAAGTTCGACTCTCATATGATTCAGATTGGCTACAGTCGTTGTGAGTATAATTGTTGTGTTTACTACAGAGTTCTTGAGGATAACTCATATATTTTCTTGATGTTGTATGTGGACGACATGTTAATTGCTGCTAAGAACATGAATGAGGTAAACAAATTGAAATCTTTGTTGAGCAGTAAGTTTGATATGAAAGACTTGGGACCGTCTTAGAAAATTCTTGGCATGGAGATCAACAGAAATAGGAAAGTTAGAAAATTATGGGTATCTCAGAAAAATTATTTGAACAAAGTGTTAGAGAGGTTTAGCATGTCAGATGTAAAATCAGTTGCCACACCACTTGCAAATCACTTCAGATTGTTTAATAATCAGTGCCCAAAGAGTGAAGAAGATGTTGCAGAGATGTCAAAGGTACCTTATGCCAGCGCAGTTGGATGTTTGATGTATGCAATGGTGTGTACTAGACCAGATTTAGCACATGCAGTCAGCGTGGTTAGTAAGTATATGGCTAATCTTGGTAGAGAGCATTGGAGAGCTGTAAAGTGGATTTTTAGGTACTTGAAAGGTACAATGGAGTTCGGGATCATGTTTGAGAGACGACATGTTGATATTTCAGTTCAAGGATATGTAGATGCAGATTATGCAGGGGACTTGGATGACAGAAGGTCCCATACAGGTTATATTTTCACACTCACAGGTGGGCCCATATGTTGGAGGTCAATGGTGCAATCACTTGTGGCATTATCTACAACTGAAGCAAAGTACATGGCGGCAACTGAGGCAGCCAAGGAATTATTGTGGTTGAAAGGGCTTGTCAGGGAACTTGGAATCAAGCAAGATGGAATGAAGCTGTACTGTGATAGTCGGAGTGCCATCTTCCTATCTAAGAATCAGATTTATCATGCAAGAACCAAACACATTGACGTGAGATTTCATAAAATAAGAGAGTTGGTTACTTCAGAAGAGCTGTTGTTAGAGAAGGTGCATACCTCAGAAAATGCAGCAGACATGATGACAAAGCCAATCACAATGGATAAGTTCAAGCACTGCTTGAACTTGATTAATATCTCTAGCTGTTAGAGATGTGTCCTAACCCATTGGTCCTAGATGGTGTGATTTTTTTCAGGTTATGTTTTTTTCCCTAAGGGGGTGAATATTCGCCAAGGTGGAGATTGTTGTACATGTGGCTTCGACCTTGCGCGGATTTAATTCACTGTCTGGTTGTACGGTATAGGGGTATTTTCTGTACGGGCCTTAAAGTTTTATATGGGCCCAAGCTAGGGTTAGTATAAATAATACGTTGTAACCCTATTTTTCAGAACTGAATAAAGAAATCTTCGTTTCGCTCTCGTGGACGTAGGCACGTCGACGAACCACGTAAAATTCTTGTATTCATTTTCGTTTTCATCTCTTTAATATTGCGTATAAAATCCAATAATTTTTATAAGAGTGCTTGTGTTCTAAATGCAATAAACCATTTAACATTAAATTTTTAAGCTATAATTAAGTATCCAAGTCTGGAATTAGAGTCAATTTTGATTGCTTCAAAATAACCTAGTCCATAGTTTCATAAGATCAATATATATTATTAAACGTATACATTAAATACCTTGGTAACGAAGTTCCTTCATCAACCAAAAGCTCCATAGCAAGCTTAATGGAATAAAAAACTAGAGCATTCTGATTGATGGCCTTCCTAAGCCACGTGCCACCAATACCTGTGTAACCATCGAGAAGCACTAAGTTAAAAGCTCCGCATCCATTTTTCGCCATGAGTTTCTTAATAACGTCCTTACACTTGGGGACCCTAATACTCTCCCGCATGGATAATGCACCGTCGATGGGTTGAATCGAGTCACAATAGACTCCAATTACTAGAATGCCCATCATCATCGTCTCGATAGCCACTTGCATCCAGCCCCCAGGTGCAGCGCAGAGATCAAGGACAAATTATTGGAGCAAAAAATTTCGAACAAGTAATCAAGCTAAACTAGCTTCCTGTGGCTATAGACCTGTAATCATTCTCTTTCCCTAATTGGTAAATGCTTTTCATCATCTTTCCCCATCACTATTGGGTTTTAGAGAAGGAGAAGAAAGGTTGAGATTTGGACTTCAGAGTTAGCTCTTGTTTAATTCCCATTTTGAGAGAAAGAATGCATTTTTAAATAGTGTTTGAAGAAAAATGTGTGGTTAAAAATTAAGGAAAAATTTTGGATTTGTATGTAATATTATTTTACTAAAGAATGTGTGGTTGAAAATGAGTTTTGGAAAAATAAATTTTTAGAAGAATGGTGTTCAAACAAGGGCTTAAGTAATATTTCTTTAGATTAAGTTATAAGGAAAATTGCAGTAGCGATCCCTAACCTTTTCAATTTTTTCAAACTTTACCCTAACCTTCAATTTGTACCAGCTAAGATCCCTAACCTTTCAGAAATATGCACCTGAGATCCAAATGGATGGAAACTGTCCATTTGACCATTAGTTGACAAATAAAATGATTTTGCCACATTATTAATTATTTCTATAAGGGTACCTTTCTCTCTTTCCATATAAAAAAATTACAATAATTAAATGAAAAATAAAAATCATCATCTTCCACAACTACCCCATCCCCATCTAAACCCCTACCCTTATCCTTGCCTCAAAACCCAACCCTAGCTACCCATCATTGTCCTAATCTGCCCACCGCCATCAATTCACAACCTCCACCACGTCTGCTACGCTCTTATTCGTTGCCAATTGAACCCAAATGAGAAATCAAAATCGATGCCACCACCACTTCGCCTCAAAATTGATGCCATCACCACCTCTGATTGCAATGGTGAGCTACTCCTATCTATATATGAAATTAAATCAAGTTTTGACCATCCAACATTCTCAAGTTCAATTTACGACTGCCATTCCTCTACAAATGTCAAGACATTTCTTCTCTAATTCTCAAATTTCCTTAGAATTTTGTGCGGCAGCACCAGAGCTTGGAGAAACTGCAACAACATGAGCGCTTCTCAAACGGAGACTATTTCATGGTTTAACAACCAGCTTGCCAGCGATGCTGCAGCTAAGGCCATTGAGAAAGCTTGGACCAAGAAACAAATTTTGCAATTGCTGCTGCAGGAGTTGGAATTGAGCCTAGATTTGAAGAATCTAGGATGGTATTAGGATACTTAGCCCAGTGGCACTATCAATTTGGTGGATTTCCTCTGAGTTTGTGGTAGGGGTGTCTGGTGTTTGAGGATTGCAGGAGGAGGTGGTGGATGTGTAGTGGTAGTGTTGGTGGTTCTTATTTAATTTTCAATTTCTGCAGATTCATTGATTGAGGTGGTGGCGGCTGTGAATTTAGTGGTTGTGGCAGCAACAAACGGTGGTGGTTTTAGGCAATGGATTGTGGGGTGGGGTGGGGAAGGCAATGAATAGTTTTTTTCCTTTTATTTTAATTGTTTTATAGGGTTCAATAGCAAAGTTACCCTTTAAATTGGTCAAAGTTCGTTAAAGTTCAATTTTATTGGTCAACTAACAGTCAAATGGATGATTTCCATCTATTTGAATGGTTTCCTCTGACAATAACTCATTCCACAAGCCATATAGCTTTGAAGTGACATTTACCATTTTTTGTACTTTCCATTAATGCCCTTTACTTTCCATAGGCGGCTGGCACTTGTATTTCCAATTAGAATCTAAGGGCAAAATAGACAGCTTAGTTTCAACAGTATTTTCCAATTTGTATCTGTTCTGACATTTGTCTGACTTCTTATCCTGTGTTATCATTCATTATTGTAGGGGGAATGAGATTTGGTCTAAAAAAAACTCATTAAAATGAGTACCAAATGGCACTAGGTTTAATAATTCTATAAAATTTTAGTTTATCAGATATTCTTTTGACTTTAGATTCTTTATTTTAGACTTGAGCCCCATTTTATTATATTAAGAATGCATTTTGAAATAGTAAATTGATGGAGAATGTGCGATTGAAAATAATGGAGATCAAACAAAGGTTATATAAATAAGGTTTTATTTATGAATAATATTTACATCTCATTATTTTTAGTTCTTTTTGTCCTAGCTTGTGGGATCGTGTTTCGTTGGCCTTCATTTCAGTTTTGTGATAAAAATAGGTTTTTCTTTTTTGCGGTATAAATCTGCCTTCGTTTTTTGTCCATTTTAGTTTCATATCAAAGAAAGTTAATTTTGTTTTGTTTCTTTGTATTTTACTGTTGGTCATTGCTGGAAATTGATATTCTTGTGTGGATGCATGTGAGGGATCTTGCCTCGCTCATATTCGCTTCAGTTCTATGGCACATAGCAGGTTTATTTTAGGTTAAATTTATAGATTAAGTATGCTGGTCCTTTTTTTTTAATGCATATGTATTATGTCCTTCAGTTTTGACGCAGTTCCTTTATTTTTGCCTGTCTAGGGGCTTTTTTCCACGATTTTGTTTTAACCATTGTACTAGAGCACAGGTATATCATATTCTATTTTTATTTTTATTTTTATTTTTTTCTATTAGTTCAAAGACATTTAGTATGTTGTTGAAGATGTTGACATGATTTGTGTGTTTTGTACTCATTTTTAAGCTAATCTTTGCACGTGCATTGCATGGGATTTTTTTAATTATTTTTTAATTATTTTTTTAAGGTAATGTTAGTGTATTAAATGTATTGGATTTTCTGTGAATTACATCATGTTTCTTACAATTAAAAAAGAATAAAGGAGGAAAATGAGTAACTCTAGCATAAAAACCCTCACAAAGAGCTAAGAAAGAGAGAGCTCGTCCTCTCAGCAAACTGAACTCCCGTTTGTTTATCATTTTTTCAAAAATGAGAATAAAAAATATAGTCGTTATGGGTCTCATACAAGGGATAGAAATTCAAATTCGGTGACTTGATGTGATGAATAGCGATCATATTTTTCATTTTAATGAGAAAAAAATGGGAACAAAACAGGGGCTGAATTAAAGAAATTATTTCACACGAGCGGAAATGAAACTTTGGCAACAACATTTTCAAAGGTAAAACATTTTCAGAGTAGAAGAAATGTTATTGGAATTTCTCAAAAAGGAAATTAAATCTAAGCATTAAATATTGACATAAAAGTTATTAAGAAACTAACCCGAGTAATACTTCATCATAAAAAATTACAATCTCAACACCAAATGCTTCAATCACACTCTTGGTTTCTACATCATTGCTTGATCCTTTGTATGTCCTCAGATTTAGCGTTGCAAGTCTGCACCAAATACAATGGAATACCCCAAATTCACGCACTATTTGAAATTTCATTTACTGTGTGCTACATAAAATATAATTTACAAAATAAAAAAAAATGATATATTATTCATACTACTTACTTTTGATACGTAGAACCAACAAAGAGTCTACCAGTGTTGGCGAGATGAGCTAATTGACTGGGTGATCCTCTATACCAAATTAATCGTTAGTATCAACTTTCCTCGCGACCCCAATGTCGTAACTGTTGCCATGACAGTGCAAACATTGCCATCGATGTTTATTTTATGATGCCTAACTTAGTCAACTAATTATTGAATACACTCAACAACAGGATGTACCAAATTACCATTTTCATTTCCCAAAATGGAATGATTCTTTCACTTCCTGTTAAATCAAAGAAATCTAAATGTAAACCACAAAATTTATGAAAGATCACAATAAAATTGCAACACAAATATGACTCATATACTGGACTCTAGCTGCATCTTTTACAATTTTACCTGTTTCTTAAAACCCAAGCCGAACTTGATTGAGTGACCCAAATAATCCAACAACCCCTTCAAACCCTAGCCCAACACACCACTTTAATTTGATATGCTCATTATGTACAAATAATCTAACAGGAACTGTCACTCTTTTGGTTTTCATTCTGATCACATCTCTGTCATCCCCCAAGAACATAAAGTCCATCTTTGAGCCATATTCCAAGAAAAAATGCATTATTCATGTCAAATCAATGGAAAATGTGTGATTAAAAAATAAGGAAATGTTTTAGATTTGCATGTAATATTATTTTATTGAAAAATGTGTGGTTGAAATGATGTCAAATAATTGTTGAAGAATGTATTTTTTTAAAAATAATGTGGCTCAAACAAGTCCAAAATTAGGAAAACCCAACACTTCTGAAAAGCAGATTCATCAGATTTAATTTTTATCTCATTTCTAAAATGTCACTTGATTCACCATTTCAAGAGCTTACCATCCTAAACAATCGGGATCTTTGTGGTGTCAGACTCTCAACATACAGGGTAAGTTTGCAATGAAAGGGAACTCCAATAGATTTAACGTTCAAGGCCATGGTAAAGCAAACATTATAAACATTGGTAACCTAGCTAGTAGCAAAGAACACCTGTCTTTTAATATTCCTAACAAAAATACTTGAATTTTAAAAGTAAACAAACCAATCCTTCCCATATAACACTGGGAGAAGTTTAAAAAAATAAAGCCCACTAAAATTCAAGCAGAATGCCATAACGATTGTACCAAATGTACTCTATCCACCCAAAATATGGTAAAAACAAGTAACTTGAGTACCCCAATAAGCATTGTCATTCTAGTTAATTAATCTTTGCCCTCGAGAAGTCTATTCCAGGTGCTGCAAATTTACATAGGTAAAATCAGTATCCGCATAATCGAACATGGAATGCCTATAAAATGCAAAGGCAACAAGAAAAGAACTGGGAATAAGGGTCATTCACTGTAAAAGTATTTGTTATTGAAATTGAAGTAACGTTACTACAACTCTTCATTAGTTTATAACAAATACTTTGTCCTTTTTATTGAAACTTATTTTCATATACAAATAATTATATTGGACATTTATCTACCTGTATCCAGACAAATTTATAAGAGAGCCGACAAAAAATCACTCTCACAACTAAAAATCAACTTTTCACTTGCGGATAATTACCGATTGGTAAAAGTATTAGACTTTTAATTTCGAAAATCACGAAAGAAATTTCCGTTGGTAATTGTGGTAGTTTTTTATCAATGGATATTCCATGCCTACTGTTGTTAAGTACACTTACTATTTACCAACAGCATTTTCGTGGATGATGTCATTCAACTATTTTTTCTAAAAACTATGTCAACCTTCCATCTATGAATTTTTTGTGGGTGAAGAGAAATTTATATTACCAACATAATTGTTATTGTTAATATTAATCAATTTTAATAATTAAAAAATTCAAACACCCTCCTACGAAATATCTGTAGGTATAGGGTAATTAATTTTTTTAAAAAGAGAAAATTCAACCTCTTCACCAGCAAAAATTTCATAGGTGAAGAATAATTCATATTACCTACTAAAAATCTGTTGATGATATTAATTAATTCTAATATTTAAAAAAATCAATTATTCACCTACTAAATATACATAGTTGAGGGGTACTAAAATATAAATAATTATTTATACAATAGTTTTTTTTTTTTTATATGACCATTGGTGTCCGGACCAACTTACGCGTACCTCGCCTAATCCCACGGGCCTTGAAATTTACAACCGAATACTCACCTCAGTCGCCTTAAGAGGACTCGAACTGATAACCATTGGGAAGCAAACCCAAAACCGACTATTGAGTTACAATAGTATAATACACTACAGCCAAATTAAAGGTACAATACACTATAGTCCAACTAAAGGAATTTTTATCCCACACTGAAAGTTCATAACAAAATCTTTGGAAGTGCCCTCTATAAATTAGTGGTGCAATAATTGATTAAACAACTTTTTGGACCTTTCAATTTAGTTGGCTAAAAGTTAAAAAATTCATAATTATTAAACAATAATAACAATAATAAAAATTTATACCACGCTTCGCACCTATGTGACTATTTATGACACTGATTTTTACTTATTGTAATAGTAGATGTTTGCCAATGGAAAGTCGGTAGGTAATGATTAAGATTTTTACCAGTTAAAATTTTCATTGGTAAAAGGTTCACACTTAACCAAAACCCTCAAATTAACAATGAATTTTTGGCTACTAATATCCCGTTAGTAAAGAGTAATAGCAACGGATATCGTGGTTTAGAAACAAAAAAATCGTGCTTGAGCCCCTTTTTTGGAGTGTCCCTTTCTTTTGATGGAACGCAAATTTGAGGTTCTGTAGAGATTTGATCAATGAGATAGGTCATTGGTCGATGGATTTNTGGTAGAGAGCATTGGAGAGCTGTAAAGTGGATTTTTAGGTACTTGAAAGGTACAATGGAGTGCGGGATCATGTTTGAGAGACGACATGGTGATATTTCAGTTCAAGGATATGTAGATGCAGATTATGCAGGGGATTTGGATGACAGAAGGTCCCATACAGGTTATATTTTCACACTCGCAGGTGGGCCCATATGTTGGAGGTCAATGGTGCAATCACTTGTGGCATTATCTACAACTGAAGCAGAGTACATGGCGGCAACTGAGGCAGCCAAGGAATTATTGTGGTTGAAAGGGCTTGTCAGGGAACTTGGAATCAAGTAAGAAGGAATGAAGCTGTACTGTGATAGTAGGAGTGCCATCTTCCTATCTAAGAATCAGATTTATCATGCAAGAACCAAACACATTGACGTGAGATTTCATAAGATAAGAGAGTTGGTTACTTCAGAAGAGCTGTTGTTAGAGAAGGTGCATACCTCAGAAAATGCAGCAGACATGATGACAAAGCCAATCACAATGGATAAGTTCAAGCACTGCTTGAACTTGATTAACATCTCTAGCTGTTAGAGATGTGTCCTAACCCATTGGTCCTAGATGGTGTGATATTTTTCAGGTTATGTTTTTTTCCCTAAGGGAGTGAATATTCGCCAAGGTGGAGATTGTTGTACATGTGGCTTCGACCTTGCGCGGATTTAATTCACTGTCTGGTTGTACGGTACAGGGGTATTTTCTGTACGGGCCTTAAAGTTTTATATGGGCCCAGGCTAGGGTTAGTATAAATAATACGTTGTAACCCTATTTTTCAGAACTGAATAAAGAAATCTTCGCTTCGCTCTCGTGGACGTAGGCACATCGCCGAACTACGTAAAATTCTTGTGTTGATTTTCGTTTTCATCTCTTTAATATTGCGTATAAAATCCAACAATTTTTATAAGAGTGCTTGTGTTCTAAATGCAATAAACCATTTAACATTAAATTTTTAAGCTATAATTAAGTATCCAAGTCTGGAATTAGAGTCAATTTTGATTGCTTCAAAATAACCTAGTCCATAGTTTCATAAGATCAATATATATTATTAAACGTATACATTAAATACCTTGGTAACGAAGTTCCTTCATGAACCAAAAGCTCCATAGCAAGCTTAATGGAATCAAAAACTAGAGCATTCTGATTGATGGCCTCCCTAAGCCACGTGCCACCAATACCCGTGTAACCATCGAGAAGCACTAAGTTAAAAGCTCCGCATCCATTTTTCGCCATGAGTTTCTTAATAACGTCCTTACACTTGGGGACCTTAATACTCTCCCGCATGGATAATGCACCGTCGATGGGTTGAATCGAGTCACAATAGACTCCAATTACTAGAATGCCCACATCATCGTCTCGATAGCCACTTGCATCTAGCCCCCAGTTGTAGCGTAGAGATCAAGGACAAATTATTGGAGCAAAAAATTTCGAACAAGTAATCAAGCTAAACTAGCTTCCTGTGGCTATAGACCTGTAATCATTCTCTTTCCCTAATTGGTATTTCTCATCAATGCTTTTCATCATCTTTGCCCATCACTATTGGGTTTTAGAGAAGGAGAAGAAAGGTTGAGATTTGGACTTCAGAGTTAGCTCTTGTTTAATTCCCATTTTGAGAGAAAGAATGCATTTTTAAATAGTGTTTGAAGGAAAATGTGTGGTTAAAAATTAAGAAAAATTTTTGGATTTGTATGTAATATTATTTTACTAAAGAATGTGTGGTTGAAAATGAATTTTGGAAAAATAAATTTTTAGAAGAATGGTGTTCAAACAAGGGCTTAAGTAATATTTCTTTAGATTAAGTTATAAGGAAAATTGCAGTAGCGATCCCTAACCTTTTCAATTTTTTCAAACTTTACCCTAACCTTCAATTTATACCAGCTAAGATCCCTAACCTTTCAGAAATATGCACCTGAGATCCAAATGCATGGAAACTGTCCATTTGATCATTAGTTGACAAATAAAATGATTTTGCCACATTATTAATTATTTCTATAAGGGTACCTTTCTCTCTTTCCATATAAAAAAATTACAATAATTAAATGAAAAATAAAAATCATCATCTTCCACAACTACCCCATCCCCATCCAAACCCCTACCCTTATCCTTGCCTCAAAACCCAACCCTAGCTACCCATCACTGTCCTAATATGCCCTCCGCCATCAACTCACAACCTCCACCACGTCTGCTACGCTCTTATTCGTTGCCAATTGAACCCAAATGAGAAATCAAAATCGATGCCACCACCACTTCGCCTCAAAATTGATGCCATCACCACCTCTGATTGCAATGCCGAGCTACTCCTATCTATATATGAAATTAAATCAATGGCACATAGCAGGTTTGTTTTAGGTTAAATTTATAGATTAAGTATGCTGGTCCTTTTTTTTAATGCATATGTATGATGTCTTTCAGTTTTGACGCAGTTCTTTTTCCTTTTTTTGCCTGTCTAGGGGCCTTTTTCCTCGATTTTGTTTTAACCATTGTACTAGAGCACAGGTAAATCATATTCTTTTTTTGTTTTTTGTTCTATTAGTTCAAAAACATTTAGCATGTTGTTGAAGATGTTGGCATGATTTGTGTGTTTTGTACTCATTTTTTAAGCTAGTCTTTGCACGTGCATTGCACGGGATTTATTTTTTTAAGGTAATGTTAGTGTCTTAAATGTATTGGATTTTCTGTGAATTACATCATGTTTCTTACAATTAAAAAAGAATAAAGGGGGAAAATGAGTAACTCTAGCATAAAACCCTCACAAAGAGCTAAGAAAGAAAGAGCTCGTCCTCTCAGCAAACTGAATTAAAGAAATTATTTCACACATGAGCGGAAATGAAACTTTGTCAACAACATTTTCAAAGGTAAAGCATTTTCAGAATAGAAGAAATGTTATTGGAATTTCTCAACAAGGAAAGTAAATCTAAGCATTAAATATTGACATAAAAGTTATTAAGAAACTAACCCGAGTAATACTTCATCATAAAAAATTACAATCTCAACGCCAAATGTTTCAATTGCACTCTTAATTTCTACATCATTGCTTGATCCTTTGTATGTCCTCAGATTTAGCGTTGCAAGCCTGCACCAAATACAATGGAATACCCCAAATTCACGCAGTATTTGAAATTTCATTTACTGTGGGATACATAAAATATAATTTACAAAAAAATAATAATAATAAAAATTGATATATTATTCATACAACTTACTTTTGATACGTAGAACCAACAATAGTCCAGCAGTGTCAGCGAGATGAGCTAATTGACTGGGTGATCCTCTATACCAAATGAATTGTTAGTATCAACTTTCCTCGCAGCCCCAGCGTTGTAACTGTTGCCATGACAGTGCAAACATTGCCATCAACGTTTATTTTATGATGCTAACTTAGTTAACTAATTATTGAATACACTCAACAGCAGGATGTACCAAATTACCATTTGCAGTCCCCCAAAATGAAAAGACTCTTTCACTTCTTGTTAAATTAAAGAAATATAAATGTAAATTACAAAATCTGTCAAAGATCATAATGACTCTCACTTCCTGTTATATCAAAGAAATCTATATGTAAACCACAAAATTTATCAAAGATCATAATAAAATTGCACCACAAAAATGATTTATATACTGGACTCTGGCTGCATCTTTTATAATTTTATCTATTTTTTAAAACCCAAGCCAAACACGATTGAGTGACCCAAATAATCCAACAGGCCCTTCAAACCCTAGCCCAACACATCACTTTAATTTGATATGCTCATTATGTACAAATAATCTAACGGAACTATGTCACTCTTTTGGTTTTCATTCTGATCACATCTTTGTCATCCCCCAAGAAGAACATAAAATTAGGAAAACCCAACACTTCTGAAAAGCAGATTCATCAGATTTAATTTTTACCTCATTTCTAAAATGTCACTTGATTCACCATTTCAGGAGCTTACCATCCTAAACAATCGGGATCTTTGTGGTGTCAGACTATCAACATACAGGGTAAGTTTGCAATGAAAGGGAACTCCAATAGATTTAACGTTCAAGGCCATGGTAAAGCAAACATTATAAACATTGGTAACCTAGCTAGTAGCAAAGAACACCTGTCTTTTAATATTCCTAACAAAAATACTTGAATTTTAAAAGTAAACAAACCAATCCTTCCCATATAACACTGGGAGAAGTTTAAAAAAATAAAGCCCACTAAAATTCAAGTAGAATGCCATAACGATTGTACCAAATGTACTCTATCCAGCCAAAATATGGTAAAAACAAGTAACTTGAGTACCCCAATAAGCATTGTCATTCTAGTTAATTAATCTTTGCCCTCGAGAAGTCTATTCCAGGTGCTGCAAATTTACATAGGTAAAATCAGTATCCGCATAATCGAACATGGAATGCCTATAAAATGCAAAGGCAACAAGAAAAGAACTGGGAATAAGGGTCATTCACTGTAAAAGTATTTGTTATTGAAATTGAAGTAACGTTTCTACAACTCTTCATCAGTTTATAATAAATACTTTGTCCTTTTTATTGAAACTTATTTTCATATACAAATAATTATATTGGACATTTATCTACCTGTATCCAGACAAATTTATAAGAGAGCCGACAAAAAATCACTCCCACAACTAAAAATCAACTTTTCACTTACGGATAATTACCGATTGGTAAAAGTATTAGACTTTTAATTTCGAAAACCACGAAAGAAATTTCCGTTGGTAATAGTGGTAGTTTTTTATCAATGGATATTCCATGCCTATTGTTGTTAAGTACACTTACTATTTACCACTAGCATTTTCGTGGATGATGTCATTCAACTATTTTTTCTAAAAACTATGTCAACCTTCCATCTATGAATTTTTCGTGGGTGAAGAGAAATTTATATTACCAACATAATTGTTATTGTTAATATTAATCAATTTTAATAATTAAAAAATTCAAACACTCTCCTACGAAATATCTGTAGGTATAGGGTAATTAATTTTTTTAAAAAGAGAAAATTCAACCTCTTCACCAGCAAAAATTTCGTAGGTGAAGAATAATTCATATTACCTACTAAAAATCCGTTGATGATATTAATTAATTCTAATAATTTAAAAAAAAAATCAATTATTCACCTACTAAATATACATAGTTGAGGGGTAATAAAATATAAATAATTATTTATACAATAGTTTTTTTGTTTTTTTTTTATATGACCATTGGTGTCCGGACCAACTTACACGTACCTCGACTAATCCCACGGGCCCTGAAGTTTACAACCGAATACTCACCTCAGTCGTCTTAAGGGGACTCGAACTGATAATCATTGGGAAGCAAACCCAAAGCCGACTATTGAGTTACAATAGTATAATACACTACAGCCAAATTAAAGGTACAATACACTATAGTCCAACTAAAGGAGTTTTTATCCCACACTGAAAGTTCATAACAAAATCTTTGGAAGTGCCCTCTATAAATTAGTGGTGCAATAATTGATTAAACAACTTTTTGGACATTTCAATTCAGTTGGCTAGAAGTTAAAAAATTCATAATTATTAAACAATAATAACAATAATAAAAATTTATACCACGCTTTGCACCTATGTGACTATTTATGACACTGATTTTTACTTATTATAATAGTAGACGTTTGCCAATGGAAAGTCGGTAGGTAATGATTAAGATTTTTACCAGTTAAAATTTTCATTGGTAAAAGGTTCACACTTGACCAAAACCCTCAAATTAACAATGAATTTTTGGCTACTAATATCCCGTTAGTAAAGAGTAATAGCAACGGATATCGTGGTTTAGAAACAAAAAAATTGTGCTTGAGCCCCTTTTTTGTAGTGTCCCTTTCTTTTGATGGAACGCAAATTTGAGGTTCTGTAGAGATTTGATCAATGAGATAGGTCATTGGTCGATGGATTTGGCCGAGAAAAAAATTAAAATGGAATTTGAAAATTGAATAGAATAAATTACGAAAAGAAGATTACATACCTTAAGTCCTTGTTCTGAGTTGTACTCGTCGCATTTCAACTTCTTCAGCCACAGCTAACTTTCTTCTCGCTTATTAGAGTAACTGAGTCATGAGAAATTGTTAATTGTAGTGTAAATTTAACATGAATATTATATTTTATAATTTCATTTAAGAGTAACAAATTTCATATTGTTAGTAGAAAGTGATCTATTTATTAAAAAGCACATTTGGCAGTAGCCATTTGATAATATTTCCCATTTTTAAACACGTATGAAGCAGCCTGCATATAGCAAGCCCTAGTTTCACGGGGTGCCTTTCTTCTTGGCACAGAAAGGGACACCGTGCGGCAGTAGTCTGCCTTCCGCCTTTTCTCGGTCGCGTCGGGACGAAAGAAAATTTGATTGCAATTTTGTAGAAAGCTTACAATTGAGAATTTGAATACATTGAAAGTAAATTGAACATTGATTGCTGAAAACTGAACATTACAATTGATGAAAGCAGAAAATTACAAATGCTGGTGCAGGGGGCGGACACCAGTGAGTTTGAAAGATTTTTGAATGACTAATACCCCCTATAATAGCATTCTGAACAAAAACCCAAGTGACGGGAGTAGACGTTTAAAAGACGAGGAATCATACTAATCTTTTACCAATATCAGAGCTATTTTACAATTAAAATAACTATTACAATGGTAATCAGAGTTTTGGATAGAAAAAATAATGAAGTCATCTATTTTTCCTAACATACATGCCATTGGAAATAGCATTCTCAAAGCTATCAAAATTCACAGCATGTGTGTTTAGACGAATCATATTGTAAGTTTGCTTGAAAGGGAATTTGGGACATGACTCCAGTGAAGAGGCTTTATTTATTTTATTTTTTTATTTTTTTGCACTATTTTTCCAGCAAAACCATTCATGTATTGCTCTGGGCAAATCATTTTCTGACACGTGAAAATTTATCCTTCGAAAACAAACAATAATGCAAGATGAAGACAGCAACATAACAGTTCTTTCAACTAATTGTTTAACACATGTAAGTATGTTAATTTCGAGGAGCTGGACTAGATTTACCTCTATGTTTGAGCTGATTGGGCAAGCGTTAAATCCGACGGTAACAAAGTTCCAGAACGATCAACATCAAGGCTTTCACCCTTGTGTTTAAGATGTTAAGGTTCTTGCTTTCAAAAGTTTCGAAAGAAAAAGAAAAACCACTGTTAGACATCATGTTATCAAACGACCTCCCGGGCGATGATGAAAACCAATTTTATCAGTCGACATGAATGACTGAACGATGTCGTCTTAAGGGGACTCGAACTGATAATCATTGGGAAGCAAACCCAAAGCCGACTATTGAGTTACAATAGTATAATACACTACAGCCAAATTAAAGGTACAATACACTATAGTCCAACTAAAGGAATTTTTATCCCACACTGAAAGTTCATAACAAAATCTTTGGAAGTGCCCTCTATAAATTAGTGGTGCAATAATTGATTAAACAACTTTTTGGACATTTCAATTCAGTTGGCTAGAAGTTAAAAAATTCATAATTATTAAACAATAATAACAATAATAAAAATTTATACCACGCTTTGCACCTATGTGACTATTTATGACACTGATTTTT